CACCTTACACGAAATAGGGTGAATACATCTCATTACACTGATTTACTGATAGTCTCGAAACCCTACTCACTTACGAAAATAAACTTGTTGAGCTTACTTGCATTTCGAGTGAAAGTGTTTGGTGAACAGATTCAACTACAGCTGCGAATCCCGCTTAACCAACCGTCGATAGGCCTTAATGTGACACTCTTGTTGACACATTTTCGAAGAAAATATCCTTCGATTCCGGGGAAAACGTAATCACCGGAATCGAAGACGATTGCCTCAGAAATATCAGATGCCTTGTAAAGATGGTAAAATATGGTTATAGGATTCCGGTGATATTGGTGTCAGCTTGCATCGTGTGCTCAGTAGTCCTGAAATTCTGCTAAAAGCTAAATTGCATGCTCTCACAACGTCTGTAAATGCGAAACAGACTAAAGCTCTAGGTCCTCGATTTTTGTCAAGGCCCTCTCTGCACGAACTCACATTCCCAAATACAATTCGTCCTTCTTCGATGCGGCAGATCTACACATCCTTTTCAACCGAATTTGTATACGCATTGTAAGGTATACTTTTATGAAATTTTGATTTGTATGAAGAAAAGCTGAGCTTCGAAAGATCCCTTAATAAATAAGTGTGCCTCATCTTTTCATTTCGAAGGAAAAATTGGTCGGCAGGAATGCAAGCATCATTCTCACCGGAAGCTAAATACAGATTAACTTGGATTGAAAACTTGATATGTGCGAAGAAGTTTTCGGCTTACTGTTCTGTAACCCCCATAAACCCTTGCCAAGATTTTGTCCGCCATGTGACAGACATCGTTAGAACAAGAAACCATGCGTTATGAAATGGCACATCTATTCTCTTGGTCTATCATGTTGGCTGGCTATTTCGTAAAGTTTTGTTTCTTCCTCTGCCCATCTCCGTCACATGACAAACGAAAGCCTAACACGAGTCCACGGGAGTTGCAGCACTGTGGCCCAACACTTCTTTGCACTGTTCAACAATCTTCACTCTGCAGCAATCCTCATTTGTTGTTTATACGAAGAAAATGAGTATTTCGAAGACTCACCTGGGATAAGAGTACTGCGAAGACTCCTATTTCGTATGGAAGAGCCTGATGAAGAGATTCGTAGGTCCATCTATATCTTACATATATCATGCAGAAAGAAGCAGGTGAATCTTCTTGACTTAGTGTTAACTTAAGGCTTTTGTAAGATATAGTTCCAGCTATGATGATGTTCGTCATATGACGAGCGGAAGCTCAGCCCGTCTTCGTCCGAAACACTGGAGGATGTATCGTGCACTACATCAACCTGAACGTCGTATTAAAGCCAAACCGCAGCAGTACAACGCAAATCGGCTGGCGTCTCTATGGTGATATTGGCCTACAAATATCTTTATCACGTGCTTTCATGCGAAACGAAAGTCTTCACAACAATCTTCCTTCGTCGGCATGTTGACAAACTCTGTTTCGAAGATTCTCTTAATAGAGTGATGTTAAAGTACCTTTCGTTTTGTATGAAGAGGTGAGTGAAAGGGATTCGTGAGTTGGTCTCACCGGAAGCTGTCGGGGGATCACCTTAGTGCTGTGATTGTAGATTTGTGTGAATCGAAGTACCACCGGACAGGAAGAGGAGGCTGGCTTAGGCTCACACATCACACTCATTTCAAGAGCAATGCATTCACACAGCATGTGTGCAATGGAACGCAATCACATGCGGTGACATTGCAGGATGAAATGCACAAGTGTTTTAGGTTTCGGTCAAATGACATCAGTTTCCCGCTTCATCTGCAGCCGCTTAACTAAACTTTTAAGCAAATATTCCGGCAAAAAATGGTATATTGGTAGGAAGACTTATTGGAACGCATCTAGTCCGGGGCCCATTGTCTGCAAGACAAGACACTTGTCTCTTTGACAAGTTGTTGTGTGGTGCTAAGAATGACAATACGCACTTACGATGCAGGCGAAACGTTTGGGAATGTACCACGTCCACGGTTTAACTTTGGAAATGATCATGCAGACA